GCATGGCTTTGGGTGTATCTAGTCTCTGGCCTACAAGGTCAGACAGCTAAGTTTATCTCCCCCACTATTCAAGCAGGCTAGAAAGCAAAGTTACTGTTTCAGAATAAGAGGCCGTCCAAAGAATAGCAGAGAATTCCAAACAGTAGTTTTACAGAGTAGGGGTTTTCCTTCACACTGTGACTCTTGTTTAGATTCTGGTACTCTTTTGTAGGAGTTGAGTATTATTACTTCTTCAAGTCATCAAGCACATTTTGTTTTGTGATCTTGGTCCATGCATTCGGGATTTTACCTTTATCTGTAAATTTTTTCTCATATTTTTCTTCTAGGTTTGATCTGAAGTGACAGACAAACCATTTCCAGTATGGCTGGGGGGATGTGTCTGGGGTGATGCTCCATTTGGCTAATTCCCCTCCTGCCTGTCGATAGGTCTTAAATGGGATATTACGACCATTTAAAACAAAAGAATAATTACTTGCTACCAAACTAGTACAGCAGTCAATGTTAAAATGATTTGTGTTAACCCATTGGCCTCCAGCAACAGCTTTAGGACGGTGGAAAGGAACACTGTGGTCTCCGTCATGGTTAGGGATTGTGTTTGTACAGATTGCTCCACAGAAGGGACACTGTTTCCAGCAGCCACAGAGATGTTCAGAGAGCATGCTCTGGATTTCAAGAATCATGTCTTCTTCAGGCATACTGAAACGTGTCTTTTCTACTACAATCATTAACTCATCCAAAGCTTTATTCATGGCTTCTTTGAGTAACTCAATATCTTTTATCTCCTGGTGTTGAATGCTCACCAAGTATTTTCGTGGAAAGTTCAAGTTATTCCCTAGGTGATCACAGAACAAATCCAACCACCCAGACACAGTGCTGCTTTTATCTTTGGCTATTGCTGTGGATTCATGAATAGCTGAGAGGATGGCATTCTTGATGCTATGTATAATTTTTCCTAAAAAAGTCTTTATTTTATTATTTTGTTCTGAACAATATATTTTAGTATGGTTTTGAATGTAATTCTTAAAAAAGGATTTGGGATTCTGAATGTACTTCCAGTAATCATCAAAATTTTCTTTTTCTGCCAGCGAGATTAGAACGTGTTTCTCCAGGTTAGCCCTGTTTCCACTGAATGCTGGGCAGGTAGCTATCATGTCCCCAGCAATTTTAGGGGCCATTTTTTCTGAAATCGTGTCATGGACAGCAGGAGTGAGTTTTTCCAACAAAAATTCAACCAGGAGTGAGTTTGTGCCATAGAAAATCAACAAATTCTATGACTGAGGTTGCTCCTTGACAAGAGATCTTAAAACCCATGAGGAAATCATCTTTCTTGCTTTCCAAATAACTTACAGGATCATTTGTTTTTTTGAATGCCCTATGCATCTCCTTAAAATTCTCATATGCTCTTTGGAATAAATACAAAGATAAGTCAATTTTGTACTTATTTGTAAAAGTGTATCTGTCTTTAGTGGCTTCAGATTTCACCTCCTCCTCTATTATGTTCAGGATTTGATGGAAATAACTTGGGTCATAATCACATTGTTGCCTCTGAAGGTTTTTAAAATTTTCAGTGTATCTTGAAATAATGTGGTCAGTAGTCTCCTTTATGGACTCTTCATCATGTACTTCTATGCTCCTTGTTAATAAACCAAACCTTTTGCTCATTGTGACATGTTCTTCACAATTGACTTCAAACTTCTTTCTAGACTTTTCCTTCACTCTATTTGACATATTTGTCTCCTTTTTAAAATGTTCCAAAAGGATACCTTCACCATCCACTTCAATTTCAGGCTCTGGGACTGAAGAGAAGGTTGAGGACACACCAGAGACCCAGTTTTTCCAAAGGTCATTGAATCTGGCATGAAGCTCATTCTCACTCAATACTTTGTCCTTTAGCGTTAAAGCCAAGTCTACACTTTTTACCAATAATTCCTTTTCATAACTTGACATTTTGTTATCCAGTATTTCTTGATTCTTTTTATAACAGATATGTTCCTCGGCTCTTTTTTTAGTCTCAAAAATAAGTGACTCTTTAAGGTTTACTAGTTTAGTTTCAAAAATTGCTTTCCACTGAATTATTATCTCACTATCTGGATCTTCTTTAAAATATTTTTCAAGTTCTTGCTGGATGGCTTCATATTTTTCTGTAACTGGAGCCTGAAGAGTGCTTGCTTTGAGTTCCTGGATTTTCCCATTTTTAATCTGGTTAATGAGCTGGTTCTGCAAGTCTAGCATGTAACTCCTCAGCTGCCAGGTCCAGGAGTGATACATGTCTTCCAATTTGCTCATGGACACAACCTCTTGGGTGTTCCTGAACCTGAAGATAAAGTTCTCACTCAGCAGGGCTCTCCACAAATCTTGAACTCGCAATTTCACATCTGAGAACTTCATGATGCTTCCCCTAGACTCCTGTTTGGCAACCATAAGAATTCTGCTTTTCAGATCCTGGACATTGTGGCTGTAGCGAGGATTGGGAGGGGCCATTGGGGGATTGCCATCCCAGAGGTGAGCAAAGTAGAAGACATCAGTATTGACATCAAATTTAATGATATCACCAAAGCGGGTTACATCTGAGCACTGTTCTTGCTCAGCTGCTGCTGTGGCCATTTCATCTAGTCTCTGCTCTAACCGCCTCCTTCCTTCCATAGTTTGGTCTTTAGCTGTGACTTCCCCTACATTCTGATGGACAAAAAGGCAACTTGGGGAGATTTTTACTTGTTTCATCCTCATAAATGCCTGAACAACTATTTGTAGGATATCTTGCATTTCTGATGGATTTTCCCCAAAAATGTTGATCAGAGTCAAGTTTCCAAGTCCAATGACAAAGGTTGCCAACTCATTGTCACGATTTTTGGATTTGTTGCTGAGTTCTGGGGCCCTAAGGCCTTCTGTGTCCACAACAAGCACAAAATCAAAGCCCAGTTCCTCTGTGAAAGTGTCCTCTACCTTCAGGAGCTGCATGTAAGCCCCCCGGGTACACCTCCCAGCACTGACGGTGAACTGCAGCCCAAAAAGTGCATTCAGCAGAGTGGACTTCCCTGAGCTCTGTAGGCCAAGGACAGAGAGAACAAATAGCCGTTTGTTTCCCAGTTTCTCAGAGACCTTGTCAAAAAGAGCTGCCACCCACTTTACAGGCACATATGAAGCATCCCCATCCATCAGCTCAATGGGAGCACCAGATATCATCAGATCTGCAGCAATTTGGGGAAGGGAGAGATAAAGGGTATTTTTAGTGAGGTAAGTTTCTTCTAGAGCTTCATAGATCTGTCCAACTTCACGTAGAAATTGCTCAATTCCCAATGTACAGTCACTAATCTCTTTAGAGATAGCTTCTATGCCTTTTTGGAGGTGAGTGCTCTTTGGTGCCTTTTGCTTTTCTGTTTGTATCCGTGACCACAAATTGTTTTTCTTTTCACTCAGTTTTTCCAAGTGTCCTGCAGTCAGGTTGTCCAGAAACACACTCATCCATTGTAAAAAGTAGTGTGTGGTTTGAGTTTCTGAATGATTTTGGAGAATTTCAAGGACAGACTGCATCAACTCATTGAGAGGAAAGGCTCTGGTCAACTGTTGATTCCGTATCCTTTGTTTTTCTGTCTCAATCTCACTCTTATGTTGTTCAATGCTTCGATTCCCTTTTTCTCTTAGATGATAGAGTTCTTTGTCTTTTTTACACCAACAATGCCATAGGTGTCCCTGAAGGGGCAGTAAGTTTTCCTTTACCTGAGATATCTTTAATTTTCTCAATAGAGCCATTAGGACCTCTGCCTTTTCTTTGGCTTCCCTGCAGTCTTGCTGGTCTTCATCAATAAGGAATCCTTGCTTGCGAGCAATTGGGGTACAGTCCTCTAAGCTTAGAGCAGTGTCTGAGAGCTCCAATAAGCGTCTGATTGTAGAAACAAGCTCCTCTGTTAATTCTGCTTCATTTCTGTTCCTGATTCCAATTACCACTTTTTGGCTAGAATTATTGTCCATGTTTCTCTCTTTGTTATCAACTAAATAGATCAAAGGTCTCAGTGACTGACTCAGATCACGAATAATTTTTTGGTTTTCATTATTGTCGTCAGAAGTTGACATGAGGACGACAATGAGAGAAGAGACCTCCTGCAGGAAGGTGAGTTGCTTCTTATGTTCCTTTGCATCTCCATGGAGATTGGTGAAGGTCACACAGTTGTCAAATCTGTCCTCATCATCACCTCCAGGACAGAACCAGCAGATTTCCACCACTCCCCCCATCAAGAGACAGTCTTTGGTGCTCCCTCTGCAATGTCGGTGGAAAAAGACATCATGTTTACGTTTACTGAGAAGACAGTTCATGATCTGAGATTTGGAAGCAGAGAAGCCATTTCCAACTCTTATGAAGGACACAATGGGGGAAGAGA